ATTTCAACTCTAGTGGATAGTTGTCTCATTGGCAATCATACCACATCTCCTTATTTTTACTCTGGTGGATAGTTGTCTCATTGGCAATCATACCACATCTCCTTATTTTAACTCTAGTTGATAGTTGTCTCATTGGCAATCATACCACATCTCCTTATTTTAACTCTAGTGGATAGTTGTCTCATTGGCAATCATACCACATCTCCTTATTTTAACTCTAGTGGATAGTTGTCTTATTGGCAATCATACCATATCTCCTTATTTTAACTCTAGTGGATAGTTGTCTCATTGGCAATCATATCACATCTCCTTATTTTAACTCTGGTGGATAGTTGTCTCATTGACAATCATACCACATCTCCTTATTTCAACTCTAGTGGATAGTTGTCTCATTGGCAATCATACCACATCTCCTTATTTTTACTCTAGTGGATAGTTGTCTCATTGGCAATCATACCATATCTCCTTATTTTTACTCTGGTGGATAGTTGTCTCATTGGCAATCATACCACATCTCCTTATTTTAACCCTGGTGAATAGTTGTCTCATTGGCAATCATACCACATCTCCTTGTTTTAACTCTGGTGGATAGTTGTCTCATTGGCAATCATACCGTATCTCCTTATTTCAACTCTAGTGGATAGTTGTCTCATTGGCAATCATACCACATCTCCTTATTTAAACTCTAGTGGTTAGTTGTCTCATTGGCAATCATACCACATCTCCTTATTTTAACTCTAGTGGATAGTTGTCTCATTGGCAATCATAGGACATCTCCTTATTTTAACTCTGGTGGATAGTTGTCTCATTGGCAATCATACCACATCTCCTTATTTCAACTCTAGTGGATAGTTGTCTCATTGGCAATCATACCACATCTCCTTATTTTTACTCTAGTGGATAGTTGTCTCATTGGCAATCATACCATATCTCCTTATTTTAACTCTAGTGGATAGTTGTCTCATTGGCAATCATACCATATCTCCTTATTTCAACTCTAGTGGATAGTTGTCTCATTGGCAATCATACCACATCTCCTTATTTTTACTCTGGTGGATAGTTGTCTCATTGGCAATCATACCACATCTCCTTATTTTAACTCTAGTTGATAGTTGTCTCATTGGCAATCATACCACATCTCCTTATTTTAACTCTAGTGGATAGTTGTCTCATTGGCAATCATACCACATCTCCTTATTTTAACTCTAGTGGATAGTTGTCTTATTGGCAATCATACCATATCTCCTTATTTTAACTCTAGTGGATAGTTGTCTCATTGGCAATCATACCACATCTCCTTATTTTTACTCTGGTGGATAGTTGTCTCATTGGCAATCATACCACATCTCCTTATTTTAACTCTAGTTGATAGTTGTCTCATTAGCAATCATACCACATCTCCTTATTTTATTTCTGCTGGATAGTTGTCTCATTGGCAATCATACCATATCTCCTTATTTTTACTCTGGTGGATAGTTGTCTCATTGTAATCATACCATATCTCCTTATTTTTACTCTAGTGGATAGTTATCTCATTGTAATCATACCCCATCTCCTTATTTTTACTCTGGTGGATAGTTGTCTCATTGGCAATCATACCACATCTCCTTATTTTAACTCTGTTGAATAGTTGTCTCATTGGCAATCATACCATATCTCCTTATTTTTACTCTGATAGATAGTTGTCTCATTGGCAATCATACCACATCTCCTTATTTTTACTCTGCTGGATAGTTGTCTCATTGGCAATCATACCACATCTCCTTATTTTTACTCTGCTGGATAGTTGTCTCATTGGCAATCATACCACATCTCTTTACTTTTACTCTGGAGGATAGTTGTCTCATTGGCAATCATACCACATCTCCTTATTTTAACTCTAGTGGATAGTTGTCTCATTGGCAATCATACCACATCTCCTTATTTTTACTCTGATAGATAATTGTCTCATTGGCAATCATACCACATCTCCTATTCTGCCATTATTTTTATAATAAAAATATGAAACATTACCACAACCACGGGGCAAACAAAAAATAAGAGTTACAATTTATAATGACAGAGATTTCAAATTTATATCCGTTTTGCCTTTAAAGAAAATGTTCCTGTCATGCTTTTAAATACATATCAAGAGAAAAAAGTAGTCCAACTACCGTACCACTAGCCTGTCAACACTGAGGTTGTACCATCGATTCCTTTGTAATTGGCTAGGGATGCCAGTTTTCCTGCCGAAGGTCGGTGGTTAATTCCGGGCATTCCGGCTTCCTCCACCAATAAAAACTGACCGCAACATAATAGCTAATAGTGCCGAAAGTGGTGTTAAACACCAATCAATCAATCAACTTTTTTTAATATCCATTAAAGACTGATCGATTGTTTTCACGTCGAATCACGACTATTCCTAGCACAGTTTACACTTTTTCAATTGAAGGTGCATTGAAAAAATATCTGCACAACTATAAAAAGTACGTTATTATTCCTCGTAATCAAAATAAATTAATCCGCCTCATCAATAAATCATGGAAACCGGAAAAATTAGTCAAAACAAATGTAATCAATCGTTTAAATAATAAGTTGATTTAATTTCTTGAAAACGATTCGATTTAATATCAAGTTACGTCAATAATTTATGTGTGTCCTCTTCTTTGGTCATATTGTCATATCGTATTCGAGTAGTTATATATCCTTTACTTTCATATTTTTAGGGTTGAGCGTCTCTGAAGGTAAATCTACGACCTTTTTCGAACATTTGATCGATACCTCTACTGGTGGACTGCTAGTTCCGGAATGGGCGGTGTATTATCAGCTCAGAAGCCAGTGCTTCGGTACTGACATCATTTAAAACATACCTTTCATAAATTTCATGTTAAAAGTTTAAGTAATTATTAAGAAATTCAGGTTCCTACTCTGTTAGACAAAGTAGACCTTACATGCAATTATAAGGTCCCTTTTGTACATATAAAATTGAGAATGGAAATGGGGAATGTGTCAAAGAGACAACAACCCGACCATAGAACAGACAACAACAGGTCTTCAATGCAGCGAGAAATTCCCGCACCCGGAGGCGTCCTTCAGCTGGCCCCTAAACAAATATATATACTAGTTCAGTGATAATGAACGCCATACTAAACTCCAAATTGTACACAAGAAACTAAAATTAAAAATAATACAAGACTAACAAAGGCTAGAGGCTCCTGACTTGGGACAAGCGCAAAAATGCGGCGGGGTTAAACATGTTTATGAGATCTCAACCCTCCCCCTATACTATTCATGTAGTGCTAGTAGTTTTATCCTTGTCCTTACATTGTTTAACCTTGAACATTTATGATGATGGAAAATCTAGAAAATCGGTTCGGACACGCCACATGTGTAAAGTGTTATTTTTCATTTTCATCTTCAGAGACCAGACATGTATTCATTAATAAAAGTTGAAGATACCTGCGCGAAATTGTTAAAGTTTTATTTTCATTTTCATTTTTAGAGACCAGATTATATGTCAAATGTATATAATTATAATTCTGTTTAAAAAAGATACTAATGACTAATGAAACAACAGACGAGACGACGAAAGTCAGTATACAGCTTGATTTACGCAAATCAATAACAATATATATAGTTTATAACAAACATTGATATGTATATAAAGGCCAGAAAAGCGTTAAAGGTCAACATAAAAAAAAAACAATACAGGAATTTGCACTTATTGTCTAGTGAATATTATGCGGAAACATATAAAAACAATCTCAGATTAAATATCAAATTCTGGTTTATTATTTCCGCTTCACTAATAAGAAAACCGATAACTTTTTCGCGGAAATAAACCAGATTTGCAAATACCCAATATGTATACTCTTAACGTGCCGCAAAAAACACTTTTGCATGAAATTTATACAAAGGAGGCCCAAACTAGACAAAGTTTGGAGTGGAACAGGTAAAAAGTCTGCATTAACTATAAATGTAGCTCCATAACACACATTGATATATATATAAAAGCCAGTAAAAACTAAATAGGTATTGACACTAATTGTCTAGTCAATATTATGTGAAAACATATTAAAAAAAATCTCAGATTAAATATCAAATTCTGGTTTTATTATTTGCGCTTCACTGATAAGAAAAACCAATATTTTTTTTACGGAAGTAAATTACATTTGTACATTCACTATGTTAACATAACGCACCGCCACAAAACCACAGTTTTGCACGAAAGTTATATAAAGAGTTATTTTCATTTACTACATGTAGCACTGGGTCGATACCACTTCTAGTGGACTGTTAGTACCCGAGGGTATCATCAGCTCAGTGGTCATTGCTTTGGTACTGACATGATTTCTAACATAATTTTCTTAAATTCTTCGTTGATAAATTAAGAAATTGATAAAAATTAAAGGTTAATACTCCCTCAGTCAAAGTTGACCTTAGGCGAATTTGGTTATTCTTTTTATGTCCCGTTTCTGTTTTGGTCATTCAACTCCTTACGTTTCTACGTATATATGTATACATCCCTGGCATTCAAATATGTTGGTTTAAGCATTCCTGATGAAGGTAAATCCAGAAAATCTCTTCGTACATTTGTAAGCATAGTCTTATTTTCATTTCGCTCTCGCTCAACTTCAAACATGTTAAAAAACCGTTAAAATTCAAAAAACAGTGACAAGGTAAAGATATGAATACGTAAAAAAGTGTTTGCGGAAATAGTTGTTAGAAATATAAAGACGTAATTACATGATGTGTGTATAGAAAATGCCAAGAAATAAAACTACAAAGTCCGAAACAATTACGAAAAATGGGAAGATACTTAAACATATATAACAGCAATTCAAGAAATAATATTGAAAATTGCATATTACATCTTATGTTGTTCCAAGTTTAAGATATCAAACATCGTTTCATTGATATACACATAATATTCTAATGTATTAAGTTGATAAATGTTTAATGAAGATGATTCATGGCATATAATATTAGAACTAAAAAACAGAAGATTTGGAATGGCTTACCGTTAAAAAACAGCAGCATTGCTACAACGAGCACACTCTCAAGGAACCAGTTAAGTGTCATTTTTTAAAGTGTGTGTCCAATGATGCTAAATAGCCTGCTGCAATATTTCTTCATTCATTTCCATAGAATCGATGAAAACAAACGCGAATACACATTAGTGACTACGATCAATACTCTGGTTTAGACCAATAATCAACCCTTTTGTGTTATGGTAGGATATTGTGCAAGCGTATGGATAATCGATTGACAATATTATCTCCCTTGATAGAAAGTGAAGATTAGCAGAATAGGGTTGACTAAACAAGGAGAATAAGCACGGCTAAAAGAGGGCTTTTTGATGTTAGGAAAAAACTTTAACACTTTAAGAAGTTTCACTTGTAAAGTTAATAATAACACCAGATGTTAATATCTTTATTATTATAACATAATGCTGTAATCGAAAATCACTTCGTGCCGGAACTAATCATTTCAAGACGTATGTGTGTGATGTATTATAATACTTTACTGATGTAACTATCAATATCTTTATAAACCTAGTTGTCTATATACTTTAAATTGTTACTTTAAGTTTACAACTTTGTTACCTTAAGCTTTACAGCTCATCGGATTACACATGATATAATAGTAATTTTGCAATTAACTTGTAGAAAGAGAATGTAACCAATTTTGTAGAATACTGTCCCTACTTTTAAACGGGAGTCACATAAATTTTTCCCCAAACAGTCTACTGATTTATATTTTGTAGTTAAACAACTGTATCAATTTAAATACACTCGGTCTATACCAGTTATATATATTTTATAAACTTTACCCTTTTACAAAAGTTAATAAGCTCTTTACTTTTTTTCTCTCGACCTACCATCTGTCCGTTCATGTAATTGCTCAAAAACCATCTCGTTTAAAACAACAACTTCCGAAATTAGATATGATATTGTAAAATGTATAAACGATCAGTTTGATCACGTGTCAACGAACTTTTGAATACAATTGTACCTCTTGTTTAAAAATCGCAGCCCACCATCAAACATGGTCGCCACTTGGCTAAACATTGGGAAAATATGATTGAAACATTACAGTTGTATGTGATTTAATAAAAAAAGTACATAATTACTAATAGCAAGCATTGCCAAAATGAAAAATTGCGATTTTTAAAAAATAATTTAATGAAATCAGAATCAAAAATTAGAACGATAACAAATGATTGATTGATAAATGTTATCCCGTTCCCCCACTTAAAGCATTTTGACTTAAACATAGAAATTTAGTTTATTCCTTTTAGGACTTTTTCTCTTTTTCTTGATCTATTTTGCCTATTATTCTCTATTCTTTTTATAATAATACCCCAATATTCTCTATTCTATCTTTTTGGGTCCTTTTTCCTTATTCTTTCTTTTTTATGCCTATTATTTCCTTTTCGCCCATTATCCTCAATTTATGCCTATTATTCTCTATTTTATGCCTTTTATTTTCTACTTTATGCCTTTTATTTTCTACTTTTTGCCCATTATTCTCTACCTTTTGCCCAATATTCTCTGCTTTTTGCCCATTATTCTCTATTTTGTACATCCCATTCAGACCCTCCTACATTTTGAGGTTTCAGATTATTGTTAAAGTATTAGTAACTAGTATTATGTTGTTTAAAGTAGTTTTGCGCCTACGACTTTCAACGATTTCTATGCTAAAAACTGAGTTGTCTACCCTATATAAAGATATACTCAGGCTTTCCTTATGTAAGAACGTTAGTCGTTGATTTATCATGTATCTGTTACACATTAACAACTTCTTTAAAAAAAGTTCACGAACTTCTTTATAAAAAGTTCACTAACTACTTTATACATACATTCATGTAAATATCATATTCAAGAAAAACGCCTAAACGTAAATGTCGATACCAAGTTAGAATTCAACAAGTCATAGTTAGATTTATATTCAAAATTTTACAAAAAAATCGTGGCATCGCCCATTTAATGATCCTTAAACGTCAGTCCTTTGTCAGATTGTAATACTAACACACACCCTATTGCTGGCTATCGGTACTGTAGATCTGTCAGATTGTAATACTAACACACACCCTATTGCTGGCTATCAGTACTGTAGATCTGTCAGATTGTAATACTAACACACACCCTATTGCTGGCTATCGGTACTGTAGATCTGTCAGATTGTAATACTAACACACACCCTATTGCTGGCTATCGGTACTGTAGATCTGTCAGATTGTAATACTAACACACACCCTATTGCTGGCTATCGGTACTGTAGATCTGTCAGATTGTAATACTAACACACACCCTATTGCTGGCTATCGGTACTGTAGATCCGTCAGATTGTAATACTAACACACACCCTATTGCTGGCTATCGGTACTGTAGATCTGTCAGATTGTAATACTAACACACACCCTATTGCTGGCTATCGGTACTGTAGATCTGTCAGATTGTAATACTAACACCAACCCTATTGCTGGCTATCGGTACTGTAGATCCGTCAGATTGTAATACTAACACACACCCTATTGCTGGCTATCGGTACTGTAGATCCGTCAGATTGTAATACTAACACACACCCTATTGCTGGCTATCGGTACTGTAGATCTGTCAGATTGTAATACTAACACACACCCTATTGCTGGCTATCGGTACTGTAGATCCAACACTGATCAAAATCTACCATATACGATTGCAAAAATTCCTTGTGTTGCAATGTCAATTGGAACGGCAGAAACAAATCAGTTGTACACAACAACAAAAAAAATTGTTTTAAATGGCAATCGGGGACACATATACGTAATAGAGATTGTAATAATTATGTTTATAGTACATTTTAGCGATTTCATCCGTGTGACCTCTATCTAAGTATGACTTGGTCACATGGACATTCTCCCGAACACCAAACCCATCCCATGGGACCTCTATATAAGCATGGCCACCTAGACATTCCACTCCCGTACACCAAACCAATCCAATGGCACTTCTTTAAAAGCATGGCCACCTTATCATTTCACCCCCGAACACCAAACCCATCCCGTGAGACCTCGTTATAAGAATGGCCACCTTGGCATTCCACTCTCGCCACCAAACCCATCCCGTGGGACCTCCGATTGGATGAGCGGGATGTATAAATATGTAGTCTGGTCCGATCAGAGTTAAATTCGATACTTTATTTGATAATTCAGAAAAAAATGTGCATAGTACTATTTGTGTCTTAGTCACATATCTCATGCACATTTATTTGTTTTAATTGAACCATTGTTTTGCACTCTAGCTGTGAATACTTGTACAATGCTTTAAAATTCAAGCTGATTATAGTAAACATTTTCTCCTGCGTGAACCCCTGTTCTGTTTTGTTACACCCGACTCTTCTCTGTGAACAAATTTCATCCTCTGTGAACTCCTTTCCCCCTCTGTGAACACTTTTCCTCTTCTGTGAACACCATTTCAAGTATTGTGTTCTCCTCTATTAACACATGGAACCTCTTTTCTCCTCTGTGGACACCTGATAACCCGTTTTCTCCTCTGTGATCACCTGTTAAATCCTTTTCTCCTCCTTTAACACCTGTGAATTCGTTCCTCCTCTTTGAACCCTTGTTTTTATCTGTGTACCCCTTTTCTCCTCTGTGAACCCTTGTAATCATCTGTGAACACCTTACCTTCTCATATATATAACGAGATGGTACCCAAATTGCATCTATTTTGACAATTTTTTAACCTGCGTTTATTTATGATCCAGACAAAAGTTTCCATTCTGTATTTAGTTTGTAGCTGTATCCTTATTTACTATATAGTTCCACCAATTTAATTTTGAATCCGTGTTGAATCATAGAAAAATGGGTTTGAATCGACCTCCAAACGATCCATGGTTCCCAAATTACATCCATGCTTAAATTCACATCCTTAAAAATCGAATAAGAGATGATTTGTGTTATTTCTTCAAATATTTAGAACAATTTGACACTAGTCCATGCTTACTATTCATTTTTTTAAGAAATGGATGCTCTTAACATATTTTATTTGCTAATTTTTAAAAGATGACTTTCCGTAGATTTGACTTTTTTCCAGTGAATGCTTCATCTGTTGATATATACTGTGAACGTTTTTTGAACATTTAAATATATTTACTTATTTGAAAGACGTGCATAATGTCAAATAGTAAAATAATGATAATCATTCAGTCCCTAGGAAAGCGTGTTTGATTTTCGCTGCTATTTTTGCTAAATAGGTGCAATTTGGGTACTCTGACGTTAATGATACTGATAACAGTCGTATTTTTAGTTTAATAAATAAAAACATGAACATTTTATACTGCTTATAGTCAAATTACTTATAAATCCTTATTATTATAACATTGGTTGCAATTTAATCTCATGATTTCTAAGTGAAATGCAAACCGATAATTTTACTTCTCTGACGTCATACAAAACAAATTGGGAATGCGTAAAAAAAGGATATAGTTCCTTTTGATTTACACTTTATTTTCATTAAAAAGCTTATTGGCAATATAATAAAAAGAATTAAGATAACGAGAAATATTCAACTTGTGACCGAACATTATCAGTGTTGTAAACCAACGCACTACGCGCATTCGTGAATGAATCTGTTGTTCGGTCACTCGTTGAATATTTTTCTACATTTAAATTCTTCGAATAGTTATTCTATAAATATTTAATTATAGTAACAATAAGATAGATAAGAAATAATAACAAGTTTTCTTTTTTTTTATAAAGTTTCTAAGAGTCGGAAAAAGTGAATGAACACTATTCATTGAAACGGAACATATATAAAACATGAACAGCGACTGTACTCATGCGTCTTCTTTTTGACAAAATGTACTAGTTTTAGAATTCCATGATGAATTTGCTCTAAAGTTTAATTTCAAAAATATATTCAACAGTTGTGCAAAAAGTACACTGATCATTTCATGAACCGCACATTCTATTTGTAGGAATGAAGATACGCTTACACATTTTGTCAGTAAATAAATATAAAAAAAAAGAACATATGAGCAGGCTGACCAACTTCCGAATCTCCGCTCAAATATGTAATAACCAATACATCAAAGAGCATCATGTATATTGATATTTATCTTAATAGTTATTTATGAAACAACACCTTCCTGCAAGAATAAGACGACGCACGGACTATAAATGAAATATTTGCCACTGGACATAAAGCAAGCAACAGTTAATCAATTAGAAATAAGACGTTTCCGAACTATAAACCAGATCGTTTAACTCATATGAAATACTAAGCGTTTTGACAATTTAGATTTAAGACCTGGTGTACTTGTTTAGGGAGCTATCATTTGATTTTTATGGGGGGGGGGGGGGGGGGGGAGGGCTAGGACGAAATTTGAAAAAAAGCAGGACAGAAGTTTTAAGTAGAAAAAAGGCAGGATTAGCAACTTTGCAAAAAAAAAAAGTCTGGAGGACAATTTATATAAAAAAAAGTCAGGATAAAATAATAAAAAAAAAGGCACTATTTACCACCGACATTCAGTTTAAAGAGTATATTCGCTTGCTAACTTTAAATCCAAACAATATTATCGATTTATAAGTGTAGTAAATGGTGTGTGACTTTAAATTGATATAGATTAAATAAATACTACAAACATATTGTAAAAGTAAATGTGTGATCTACTTCGTAAAGCGGACCAAACTTGTTGTACAGGTAGGGACAATAATCTGTTTATTTTCGTTATTCGTTCATTCTGTTGTTTTCAAATCTTGCAGCTTCGTTATTCGTTCATTCTGTTGTTTTCAAATCTTGCAGCTTCGTTTTACTTTTAGCCACTATTGTATCTTTCTATTATGTTAAAACTACATTGTACATGAACACTATGATTTCTATATTTAGAATATGAATAAAAAGACGATCACGTCAATAAGTCAACAACGTAACAACATTGGACAAATATTGCAGGTAAATTTGGTCCGGTAGTAACATTTGTCCGCCAGACTGTTTTTTCCCCTAGATAATCAAGTCCATGACCATAACTTTTCTAGTAAACCAAGTTATGATCACCTAGGAATATTAATGACATGGACATGATTTCCTAGGAGAATTAGTCTGGTTACATAAATTTTATTAAAAGATTAATGCACAACTGTCAGACAATATTAAAACATAACTATTAAAATTCCATTGTTTACATGTAAATGATATTTTTCATTACAAATTTTCCCATTAAAATATACGACATGGACGTTTTCACCTAGGAATATTAATAAAATGGACATGAATTCCTTAGAAAATTAGTCTGGGGACATAAATTTTACCAGAAGATTAATGCACAGCTGTCAAACAATATTAAAACTGAACAATAAAAAATTTCAGTGTGTCTTTCAATGTTGTGATGTTACACTATTGTTTCACTAGCGTGAAGCTAGCCGTCGATAACAGCCGGCGTTAATATTCATGAGGCCAGCCGGCAATAATATTCATGAGCCGTTAAAAGAGTTAAAAGGAAGATGGTTTACCTCGGTGTATCACGAAGTCGAAATAAACTATTGCCGGCTGGCTAAACTAAGAGATTCTCCACGTGGGCCATTATACCAGCGGTATAGGTAGGCATTGCCTCTAAAATGGCCCATCGCTCTTATGCCCTAAACCCATTAGAGTTTGTCATCAAAGGGTAAGGGGAGTACTCTGGTATATTACAAAGTCCAAATAAACTATTGCCGGTTGGCCAAACTAAGAGATTCTCCACTTGAGCCATTATACCAGAGGTAAAAGTAGGCATTGCCTGTTAAATGGCCTGTATGACTTATGCCCTAGACCCGTACGAGTTTGTCAGCAAAGAGTTAAAAGGGGGATGGGGTACCCCAGTATATCACAATGTCGAAAGAAAACTATTGCCAGCTAGCCAAACTAAGAGATTCTCCACGTGAGCCATTATACCAGAGGTAGAAGTAGGCATTGGCTCTAAAATGGCTCATCGCACCTATGCCTAGACCCGTACGAGTTTGTCAGCATAGGGTAAGGGAAGTACTCTGGTATATCACAAAGTCCAAATAAACTATTGCCGGCTGGCCAAACTAAGATATTCTCCACTTGAGCCATTATACCAGAGGTAAAAGTAGGCATTGCCTGTAAAATGGCCTATATGACTTATGCCCTAGACCCGTACGAGTTTGTCAGCAAAGAGTTAAAAGAGGGATGGGGTACCCCAGTATATCACAAAGTCGAAATAAACTATTACCGGCTAGCCAAACTAAGAGATTCTCCGCGTAGGCCGTTATATCAGAGGAAGATGTAGGCATTGCCTCTAAAATGGCCCATCGCACCTATGCCCTAGATCCGCACAAGTTTGTCAGCATAGGGTAAAGGGAGTATTCTGGTTTATCACGAAGTCCAAATAAACTATTGCCGGCTGGCCAAACTAAGAGTTTCTCCAGGTGGGCCATTTTACCAGCGGTAGAGGTAGGCATTGCCTTTAAAATGGCCTATATGACTAATGCCCTAGACCCTTACGGGTTTGTCTTTAAAGGTTAACTGTTTGTAGAGAAAGAGTATTCTGAATATCCCGAAAAAGCTGATAAATTGATTTGTAATTTGACTGCAGAACCACAGATAAATACAACTACTAGATACGTTAAGTCTTCTAAACATAACTTGTTTTGTGGTTGGAATATATATTTAGATATAATGACAATGAGTTTTTAATGTATATGATTGCAGAGCTTTTTACTGCAAATGATAGAAATGACTCGTATGAAGAGATGTTTAAAAAAACGATAAAAAAACTTTGTAAAAATACGATCGACACATTAAGGGACTTACAAAAACGATAGAGAGCAAAGTGGACAATTCTGACTTCATTATGCAACAAAAAACCGATGCACTAATTGGATGTTGGCGGTGGAAGAGAAAAACCAGGGAAAACCCGGGCAGATTAAAGTTATTTGTTTAATGAAGTTAAATGTCAAGACAAAAACAAATTTAAATCTTTACAATATCCGCGGGGTAATATACCAATTTGTCATAGAAGAGGGAGGAAAGATACTAGAGGGACAGTCAAACTCATAGATCGAAAAACAAACTGACAACGCCATGGCCAAAAATAAAAAAAACAAACAGACAAATAATAGTACAGATGACACAACATAGAAAACTAAAGACTAAGCAACACGAACCCCACCATAGACTTCTTTTACTCAATCCAGGGTCACCTTCGCAATATTTATTCAATGTGGTATATATCTGTATTAGTCTCCTGAGTTCAGGCTTGTAAAGGATCCTTGCATTTCTTCATCGTTGACATATTTGAGATAGTATATATGTGGCTGAGAATTTATCACTCAGGAAATAGTAAACTCTTCTTCGGTTCAACTTGCTATGTTTTGTATCCCTTTTCAAACATTTCTTTCTGGTGATTTACACTATGTCACCCACACTAAATTTGAATGTTGTATAGAGGTTCTAATAAGAGGTTTAGCAATACCCCTATCTATTTTTTCCTCTAGCTGTAGGATTGGTAACACGATTGACTTCGCTTGACATTTTTTGTAATTTCGTATGAATGTATCATTATGTTGATAATAACAGAGATCATGTCGATACACCGCAGAGAATTTATAATTTGGTATCAGGAAGCAGCAAAGAAACTGCTGAAATCTACTCCTTCGATCCGATTGGATGGACTTGGGTTTGTATGTATTTGAAAAATTGCTACAACAACCGATCAACCAACTCTTGAGAACTGGTTTGGACGAAAGATTTTCTAAAGAAGACAATTATAATCTCATCTTTATCAAAACAAATTTTCCTATTTGCTATCTGATTTGGTGAACAGTATACATTTATCCCCTCCGAGACAGCCGAAAAGCATTGATTCCAAATTCTTTTAACAAGACAGAGATGTACCTGATCCACGCGAACTTGATATGTGGCGGGAAATTGATTGTACTTGATGATTTATTGTTGGGAAAACAAAACAAGTGTGAAGGTTTCTATGTTTGTGGACGGCACAACCATGTCGACTCGGTATATCTCTCACAAAATTATCTCAAACTACCCCTACAGACCATTCGAAATACAACAACTTTATTTGTCTCTTCCAACAAAACACCAAGAATCTAGATCATATTTATCAAGAGTACTGTAGTGCAATCACCCGAGGAGAGTTTGGTCAGCTTTTGCAATCGGTACTGGTCCGAGCCACATGGGTTTGTCACCATTGATAAATTAGATGGAGAAGTACAGAAAGTTTTTTGATGATTTTAATACTAATTCAATTTCAGACTCTGCATCTAAGTTATAAAGAAACTACATAGACATTCCACCGTATGAGATAGGTGCGAAAAAGTGATCCAAGGAATAACACTTCAGATGGATAAAAAAGGGGGGAAGAAAAGTTTTATTGTAAGAATAAGACAAAAGACCGGAGAGAGGTGGTTTGCTATCAATGTCGTACAGGTAAGTGGGCACAGCGAATCCAAACAGGAGGATGGATATGAATATGTGTGTTTGTGTGTGTGTACGTGTGTGTGCATGTATGTATGTGTGTGTGTATATAACCCAGGGAAACAATTGCACTTTACTATGTAGACCAAATCAATACAAATGTCTCAGACACTTAAAGATGGCTATACAACCTGCAAATAGCATCATGAAATGGCTCCATGACTTGAAAGGATATTCTTAAGATATGTATTCAAATTCAAAGGCTAGACACCGTTCAACACCGTTGCACACTGATCAACCCTGTTCAACAGCATTTAAAACTGTTAACACTGTACAACAGCGTTACATACTATACATAATTGACATAGATTTCTTATCATAAACAGCGTGATGCACTTGCATAGGAAATGCGTGAGGCCAAACAAAATATTCGAGCAAACAACTATCAACTCCGAATAGACGATATTGGAAACCTTACCAAAGAGTTTAAACCCGTGGTTGATGCGCAAAAGGAAGCTGCTTTTCAAATAACCAGAAAATTGGTGACATTCCAACAATTCAGCCAGCTCTACTACAACATTAAGAGTTTTCCAGTCCACTACATATTGTAGAGCATATCGAGAGTTTGCACATTCACTTCTATTTGACAAAACCACAGATGCATTCCTAGAACATCTTACTCAACACCCTCTCCCACTAAGTGTGATAGATCAATCAGAACACACATTTGAATTGCAATCTGCTTATCTCAGTATTCTTATAGGAAACTCCTCTGTAACATTTGTTTGGAATGATATATTGTTGTTGGGTGTGTTATACGACGGAACCCCGGGATTGTGAGAAATTCTTGTGAAGAAACGTGCCGATTCGGAGTCGGATTAATTTGCAAATGTAATGCACAACAGAGATGTTGTTAATTATAGAAAAAAAAATTGAAAGACAGTACGTAGGGCCATGTACTATGGAAACTGTGTTCTCTCTGAAACTCTGAAATCGAGTAAAGGTTTCCAGTTGGGGCAAATCGTTTCCCTCCCTTACAGATTACAAGACAATACGGTAGTGAATTACAAACCGTGTTACTGTCTTCCGATTTCAACAAGTTTTTGAATCGATTAGATCTTTGCAAAGCCTCGTTTAAAGCTGGCAACAATAGGGTAAGAAATTGAATTGTTGCAATGGCTGATGCCATGAAAGGTCAGGGATGGATTGGTAATCGGGAGTATGCTTTTGCGCACCGTTACAATGGTAAAAATTTCAAAACGTGGTAATCAGCGGTAATGTGTTTGTGAAGGCAGGAGCATTTACCTTTTCTGCTGCAAACACTGTGGGAAGTAAAGCTGTGAATGCCACCGGTAATGCTGCTTTAAAAGATATAGAAAAAGAAGCCGATTATGAAATTAATAAATTGACTACTTCTTAGAAGCCGAAATCAATGTCAATATACGACTTTGTACAACGCAGCAACCCCACCAAAGCCATTACGCATCAACAACGCGCTTAAATGTGGTTTTCATCAGAAACAGTGTGCACGTGGTTCCACAACCGTTTTCCAAAACACATAGTTACCTAGATATTATCTAGGTCAAAGTGGTGGATACATTTGATGGATCATTTTAGCCTTCCAAACTGACAAAAATAATGATCAGACTCATAGTGCAGCCGTAATTGATCACTGTAGATGGAGAAACATCCATGCAGTTCTTAATGCGCATTGCAATCTGTAGATTTCAATTTTGCCTTTACGCAATGTAAAAAATCTACATTATACAAAAAAAGTATTCGTCCTCCGAAAAAAAGTTTAACAATATAGACCATCTTATTAGTAATAGTAACACAAACCCTTCAGACTTTATAAAACCGTAATCTTTGTTATTGTTCTTTGTAAACAGTCTGACAAATTTTAGAAATCCGTGGTTGAAATTGATATTAACACAACAGACTTCGAGCGCAATATATGAAATGTGATATACCGAGGTACTCCCTCCCCCACCCTACGGCCTATATATAGCTAACTGCTGTGGGCCATTTTAGAGGCAATGTCTACCTCTACCTCTGGTATAATGGCCCACGTGGAGAATCTCTTAGTTTGGCCAGCCGGCAATAGTGGTATTGGACTATGTGACATACCGGGTACCCCCCTACCCTATGCTGACAAACTCCTAAGGGTCAAGGGCATAAGTGCTATTGGCCATTTTAGAGGCAATGCCTACCTCTACCTCTGGTATAATGGCCCACGTGGAGAATCTCTTAGTTTGGCCAGCCGTCAATAGTAAAGTTGGAATATGTGACATATCGGGTACCCCTCACCCTATGCTGACAAACTCCTGAGGGTCTAGAGCCTAAGTGCTGTGGGCCATTTTAGAAGCAATGCCTACCTCTATCTCTAGTATAATTGCCCACGTGGAGAATCTCTTAGTTTGGCCAGCCGTCAATAGTAAAGTTGGAATATGTGACATATCGGGAACCCCCCTACCCTATGCTGACAAACTCCTAAAGGTCTAGGGCATAAGTGCTATTGGCCATTTTAGAGGCAATGCCTACCTCTACCTCTAGTATATTGGCCCACGTGGAGAATCTCTTAGTTTGGCCAGCCGTCAATAGTAAAGTTGGAATATGTGACATATCGGGAACCCCCCTACCCTATGCTGACAAACTCCTAAGGGTCTAGGGCATAAGTGCTATTGGCCATTTTAGAGGCAATGCCTTCCTCTACCTCTGGTATAATGGCCCACGTGGAGAATCTCTTAGCTTGGCCAGCCGGCAATAGTGGTATTGGACTATGTGACATACCGGGTACCCCCTACCTTATGCTGACAAACTCCTAAGGGTCTAGGGCATAAGTGCTATAGGCTGTTAATGTTGAGTTTAAAGACTCTGATTGATCTCCGTAGTTTTGAAAATGATATGTCATTGAAATAGTAACTGATAGTTTGTATTTTTATGTGTTCTTTCATTAACTGTAAATCGTCTTGTTTGTTCGATCTGCCTTAAATGGAAGAAATACGATTGTATTTACGGCATGTAGTATTTTTGAGATGGGACTATATTGACAAATAAGTCCCTTTAATTCCTTTCAGCTTACGTGTAATGTCTATTTGTTAAATTACTAATGGCAAATATTTAAATACTTCAAGAAGTCAGAGATAATTATTTATCAGAACCGTATTTTTATGGATTGTTTGAGTGACTGTCCCACTTTCAAGAAGCATATGCATATTTCATCGCTTTTATTCAAAATCTTTATTAAGAGTAATCGTTAAATTTCTATTTTTAATCATTCTGTTATATATAATTGTTTCAGTTTACATCATTTCACTTATCACATAATGTTGATGAATCATTGCTTTGTTCTATGTATATGAAGGCATTAACCTTTTTATCTACTTTCATTTAAATGGTGTTAAAAGACGCGGACCTTGCAGAAGTCACATATTGATTTCAGATTTTATATTGCTATAAATAGCAAAACCATATTAGATATTTACGGCAAAAATTTTATTTTATTTTCATAATAAATTAATTACCCACACCACTTCATCGAACGCGGTCTCATCTCATGAATATTATTGACGGCTTGCCTCATGAATATTAACGCCGGCTAGCTTCACACTAGTTGTTATTGTTTCAGGTAGGGTGAAGGTTGGCGCCTATTAAAACGTTTAAACCCGCTGCATTTGTTTGCACCTGTCCTAAGTCAGGAACCTGATGTTCAGTGGTTGTCGTTTGTTGATGTGGTTCATATTAAGTGTTTCTCGTTTCTCGTTTTTTATATAGATTAGACCGTTGGTTTTCCTGTTTGATGGTTTTACACTAGTCATTTTTGGGGCCCTTTATAGCTTGCTGTTCGGTGTGAGCCAAGGCTCCGTGTTGACTTTTTATACTAGTAATATGCGTCCGCCCGGACACATTTAACCAGGACTAATTTATCTCTTACCATATGTAATATCCTGGATCTGGATGGGGGTTCCCCATTTCTGTATTCTTTAATTTTTTAGTTCATTTTTCTGTATTCTTTTTTTTTTGGGGGGGCATTATTTTCTATTCTTTATATATCAGCACACCATAATTCTCTATTGTTTATTTTGTTTACCTATTTTTCCTTATTCTTCATTTTTTTTGGCCTTTATTCAGCACTTTTAGCCCATTACTCATTATTCTGTAAACCCCATCCAGACCATCATGATTTTGCACATATCTTAATCACAATAAACTTAATATAGAAATTATGTATCTTAAAATGATAAATAGGATCGATTTCCCCAGGTATTTTTTTCATTCACATAGTTAAATTCAGAAAACTGTTTATACAAACTTGAGTTTTAATACTAACGACCCTATAATTAAAAAAATTTAAATATAGTTCTATGATTTAGCATATATTCCTTGTTGTATTGTGATGTTTTGTATACTAGTATATGTTATAGTCGGTTGTATTGTAAACATGTGCCGTTACTTACCTACTTACTTACAACTATGTTTTTTTTATTATCTCATATCTATATTTAAAAAATGAAAACAACACTTTTTTTAATTTCCTTTGTCCAAGGCGATTTTCTGGATTTACCTTCATCGAGAACGATAAAGCCGAATATTTGAAAGCCAAGGATGTATAACAACCGAAATAGTTGAAGAGCTAAATTCATCTAAGGTCAACTTTGCCTGATGGAGTTTCTAAACCGTATAAAATAACATTCGTGTTTCCATTTACGCTGACTTGATAAAGTCATAAATGAGTTGAAACATTAGATATCAAATTTTAACATAACACAAAGAATCAAACTGTTTAATGAGCAATCTAACACGACACTTTTCTTTCGCTCTGTAGCTTTATAAACAAAGTTATGTTATAATTCCATGAAGAGGTGCATGTGCTTGACGTATCATTGGAATTTGCAACGTCAGTTGTATTTTAAACAAAGTTAGACATTTGAGGGGGGATATTTTTGTCATTTCGAAATCGAAAATATCTTTGAGAAAGTTAGTTTATGTGTATTTATAAACATTAAAGCGTGACACACTTGGTTGTTTTTGGCCGTTTTTTCAAATCAAATCAAAATATATTGTCGAATAGCTTTGAAAGAAAACAACTCAGATTCATTTGTCAGAATCGAAATAATTCTTTCATTTCATATTTCTATATTCATTTTAACATTGTAAGGCATTATATTTGTCAGTTATGTTTTCCTACCAAAGGTCGGTTGTTCTCTCCGGGCACTCCGGCTTCCTCCACCAATAAAAACTGACCGCCACAAAATAGCACAATAGTGTTGAAAGTGGCGTTTAAAACGAACTAATCAATCAATCAACGTTTTATAATTTGCTAACGCTCGGTATAAAGATATTTACAAGTACAATTCTTATCCATTTTAAAACGAGCATATGGCAGGACATAAAATAATTGTTTTATGAACAATTTATATCAGATAAAGTTCGATGAAGGTCAAGTACAGATGCGAAATGAAACTGTTAAACAAGTTGTATTCACCAAATTATTTTGGTGGTATAAGCATGGTTTTAATTTTAATACTAACTAACTGTGAGTCTTCCTTTTCTTCAGGTATTTACACTGTCCGTTAAGCAACCATCAATCAATCAATCAATATCCAGGCGTGTATTACTGGTGACACATATATCACGTTATTTGTACATGTCGTATCAATAGAGGTAAGTTCAATCTCCAGTCGTGTATTACTGGTGACACACATATCACGTATTTGTACACGTCGTATCAATAGAGGCAAGTTCAATCTCCAGGCGTTTATTACTGGTGACACACATTATACCACGTTATTTGTACACGTCGTATCAATAGAGGTAAGTTCAATCTCCAGTCGTGTATTACTGGTGACACACATATCACGTATTTGTACACGTCGTATTAATAGAGGCAAGTCAACTTCATTAGTTAGAGTACATATAGAAAATGAAACATTAAGATAAAAAGAGGCGGAAAATACCAACGAGAGAATCAAAACTCATAAGTCGAAAGGGACACTTAGTCTACTTAAAAAAAACTAGATATTGAGCAACATGTGTCATGGATGGATACCCCATATCCTTTGTTTTTCTATCCACATAAAAACTGCGGGGATGATATCAGATGCTCCAGAATGCTAACCAGATTCTGCTCATCATGTGGCACTCCAATACTTCAGAGGTTTTGATGACAATGGTTAGCTTTAAAGCAAAATCAACTTTTTGTGGATTTGTAAAATTATATGGAAATCTTCAAGTTTTATAAGCTGCATCAGAGACCAGATCAGTTTGCCTCAGTTTACAGTTCTTGTTTTCCCATGAATACGATACCACCAAAATAATTTAGTGAATCAAATTTTGAACCGCCTCGGTGATCTCCTTGCTTTGCGTGCTCGCTCGAATGGAGGACATCCAATGTTTGCTCCCTGGTCCGGTCAAACCAAAGACTTAAAAACATTGCATTTGAGTTAGAGCAAATATTTCTCGGCTTGGATCCGGAATTATATCTCCGGGTAGGATGAAAAGTCTTTCTGTGGACCCTCAGCCTGACCTAGCAGGTTGAAAATCCAGCTTAGTTTTTCGGTCTGTTTAAACTCGCATATCAATTTTATCTTGTCCTGATATGCATGTAATATTTACACTGGACGTTAAACATCCATCGAGATTCGAAAAGACTTCGAATCGATACTGTGAAGCGAGAAGCCCTTTGGCATAAAATGCTACTTAATTACATAAATGGGAAAATATTTAAATGTATCTACAACATATTTCAAAATCTAAAATCTTGCCTTGAATATAACGGTAAGAAATCGGAGTTATTTCCATGTGCTATAGGAGTCCGACAATGAGAAAACATCCCTTTTTATTTTAGTTTTGAAAGACCAAGAAGATTTTTTGAGAATTTAAAATGTCACTGGCCTTAAAACATTAAGCGGTGATATTGAGAACAGATGTGATATATCGCTGAAGTTATTTGTTTTTCTGTATTCAGACGACACTGTCATTATGGCTGACTCCGCAACTGATCTTCAAGATCCATTAACGAAATTTAGAAATTATTGTATTTAATGGAAATTAAGAGTCAATGTCGACAAAACCAAAGTTATGTTTTTTTTCACAAGGTCGGCTTCCAAGGAATTTAAAATTTCTTTACAATGAATTAAATATAGAAATCGTAAAGGATTTTAATTATATAGGTGTATACATTTCAAGAACTGGAAATTTCAAGACTTATGAATTACATCTTGCTGAATACCAAATCCACGTACAGTGGCAGATCCAGAAATTTTCATAAGGGGGGGGGGGGGGGGGGGGGGGTCCACTGACTGCCTAACAGGGGGCCCGCTCCAGTCAAGCTTCAGTGATTCCCTAAATAATCAACCAAATTTTTCCCACAAAAGGGGGAGGGGGCCCGGCCTCCTGGAAAACCCTCTTAATCCGCCTCTGACGTATACTTTATTGAAATAAGTGCGTTGCCACAATCTTTCTTTCAAATGTCAAATGGACCTTTTAGACAAACTTAAAAATATCCTAAATAGTTACGGATGTCAAGTTGGTTCAATATTCAACATTCAACATTCAAATTATTTTTGTTGTTGTTAATAGTTACTTTAAATATATATATTATATATCCCTTATTTTAGTTAAATATGAAGACGTCTTATGATCATTTGTATCAGTATTTAAAATGGACGAATGAGCAAGATAGTTTAGTATTCTGTGTTTATATTGGAAGATAACAATTAATTACTAGTATTATAATTTCATTACCAATTCTTGAAATGCAAGGGTTATATGTTTTCGTTTCAGGAGGCGCGAACTTGGTCCTGGTCGACATGTCGTCTGATGAAAATACCAGAATTATTCGTAATTTACTAGAGGAACACTTGGTCCTGGTCGACATGTCGTGTGATGAAAATACCAGTATTATTCGTAATTTACCAGAGGAACACTCGGTCCTGGTCGACATGTCGTCTGAGGAAAATACCAGTATTATTCGTAATTTACCAGAGGAACACTCGGTCCTGGTCGACATGTCGTCTAAGGAAAATACCAGTATTATTCGTAATTTACCAGAGGAACACTTGGTCCTGGTCGACATTTCGTCTGAGGAAGGTAAAAGTATTATTCATAATTTACCAGAGGAAGTATTGCTGAAAATATTCTCTTATTTATCACAATATGAATTATTTGTAAATGTGAAAAACGTGTGTTCTCTGTGGAAGAATTATTCACTCAGTTCTTCTCTATGGAAGCATATTGATGTACAGAAAGAACTAGCAGATTTCAATATGTTTTTAAGCCAAAGTAAATCTAGTTTACTATTGGAGAGTATTGTGGAAGCCATTTCATGTCACGTGGTCAGTTTGACATTAGAAACTGATTTATATTGGAAAATTTATAATACCACTCTGAGGTGTTACGAATATAAAGATAAAACATGTACATTTGCATTTCCTAAACTTCATAAATTAGAAATGGATATGTCATCGAAATACATCTATCTTACAGATTTTGAGAAAATAGCTCAACTGACTAATAACCTGAAAATGTTGAAGCTTATTTGTAATGACATTTGTGTTGATATTACCAGTCCTATTGATGTATGTCATTTAAGAAGTCTTGAAAAGTTAGATTTGACGGTTGAGATCGACGAAGATGATTGTGACATTCAAATTTCTAATGACAATTTGCAAAAACTTTTCCAAAATGTTTCAAATATTACGCATTTCAAAGCAACATATCTCAACAGCGACACTGTAAGAACTTTACTGAATAATTGTTCAAGTCTGGAAGGGCTAACGCTATGTGATTGTCCGGACATTGGTCAGGATGCTTTTGATTCTATACCGCTACTCAATAACATGAAATCATGGTCAATAAATCGAACATACATCAACGATAACGATTTAAAAGCTATTGTACAGAATACGCCTAACTTGGAACACCTCTCTGTTCAACAGAGCGTTTATATCACTGACGTAGGGTTCTCATTCGTCGGCATCCATTGTAAAAAGCTAAAATGTTTGTTTATTGAGAAGTATGCGTACTCCAGAGGGAGAAATATAACCAACATCGGTTTAGACCACATTGCATGTGGCTGTCCAGACCTAGAAGTCATTGTAGCAAAATATTGCGAAGGAATAGATGACAATGGAGTGCAATCTTTAGCAAAGAATTGTGGAAACTTACTCTCGTTAAAGCTGTCAGGATGCCCGGGGGTGACTGACACTGGAATAGACGATCTCTCCAATAAATGCAGATATTTGGAACATGTGAATTTCAATAAATGCGTGAAAATTACGCATAAAAGTATAAATCGTCTAATCAGTAAATGCCTTTGGTTAAAAACAGCAAAGTTTAACAGCTGCAATTTTATATATAATTTGGACTTCAGATCATTCACAAGAGAACAAGAGGCAAACAAACAAAATACAGAAAGGGATTTGAAATACAGAACAATTCTGAACGCACATAACATGACCCAAAACATAGGTCAACACTCCCATATTCGAAAATTAAGCTTAAAATTCTGTCCAAATCTAGATGGAAACTCGATAAAGCAAATTGCAGACTATTGCCCTGACCTCCGGGAAGTCTACCTCACCGGAACTCATATAGTAAGTGATGATGCAATACATTACCTCCTCCAAAAATGTCTCAGTATAAGAATTTTGGATATTTCGGGAGGTTCAACACTCGGTACATCTAAATTTACCAACACGGTATTATCATCGGTAGGAACTCATGGTAAAAGTATAGAAAAGTTGATAATGTGCAAGAATTACAACATTACGAAATCTGGAGTTCTTGAACTATTACATGCCAGTCAAAGAGCGATAACTCTTTCATTAACAGTTACAGTTGTTGACAACACTTGCGGGATATTATCATTGAAGGATTGTCAACAGCTTCTAGCTGAATATGGCAATACAAGAGCTACACTGCAATACCAAGGAGACCGTTCGACGTATATAGGTTCCATCTCGGTAAACATTAAAAAAAAATAACATTAAAAAAAAAGATTTCTAATTAATGTTATATATTTTTATATGAGTTACGTCGGATAGAAATCGACCTTATGCAAGTGCACGTATACATGTACACGTATAAGACTTCAGTTGACATTGGAACATTCATATACGAAATATAAGATTAATTTTGGTCTGTTTTGTAGGGTTCTTATATCAAATCAATTTTCAAACATTTACAGACTTTGCATTGACATTTTTTTTTCAACCCGAAATAAGTGAACAGATGTATTGACATGTATTTGCATAAAGTCGATTTCTATCCGACGCAGCCCATATATAGCCGAGTTGGTCGAATTTTCTAGGGCACTGGACACAGTGCAGGCGGTGTTGCCATGATATCTCAGAAGCTGGGGTTCGGATCCCGCTGAGGAAAGAACAAAACTGCTAACGCAAATTTGCAGATCTAACAGTGTTCGGTTTAATTTGAGACGAAGTATACATGTATACAAATTATGGTGTTAGCCCTGTATAACCACAGGTTATTCGATGGAGAACAACTGTCATAAAGTTGTCACATATTTAAACGTATGTATATATATATACATATTTAGGATTCGGATGGGCGGTGGGGACGCTGAAGTGCGACGATCACGCTGAAGTGCGACGGTCTTCGCCGAAGTGCGATGGTCCTTTCGCTGATGTGCGAAGGTTTATATGAAGCGTTATGGCTAGTGTAAAACCTAGACGTGCAATTCTTTTGAAAAGTAGATTTTTTTATTAGTCGGTATATAGATTTGCATTTATTATTGTCCATAAAACATTTATGGCATTTTAGTATGGATGATATGTATGTGTAATTGAAATAGAACAATCGTTCCTGCAGTAAGCCTCGTTTTTTATATAGATTAGACCGTTGGTTTTCCCGTTTGAATGGTTTTACACTAGTAATTTTTGGGGCCCTTTATAGCTTGCTGTTCGGTGTGAGCCAAGGCTCCGTGTTGAAGACCGTACTTTGACCTATAATGGTTAACTTTTATAAATTTTTACTTGGATGGAGAGTTGTCTCATTGGCACTCATACCACATCTTCTTATATCTATATAGACTTTTAGTTTATGTAATCCATCGCACTTCAGCGTTACCACCAGCGGACTTCCGCGTATACATCAACAATATAGCGTCACAATGTAACCATCGCACTTCAGCGTGATCAAAAACCCACTTCAGCGTCAAACCATCGCACTTCAGCATGACCATCGCGGTGCGGAGTCTTACAAATAAATTATATATATATAAATATATATACTGTTAAATCATATTAACGAAAAAGTATAACAAAATTATTGATAAAGACAGATAAATGTATATATGTTCCATTTAGCCCCTTGCGTATCCAAGTGCTTATACATCATTGGCTTTCAAATTGTTAGTTTGGGTTTAGGCGTTTCTAATGAAATGTGCCACCGAAGCAGCAACTTTATTAAGTCTAATTTTCATTTTCTAGAATTGGATCGATTCAGGTTAACATTTTTTCCCGATCGCATCACAAGCCCAGTAGTAAGGGCTTCGCTACTGACATGATGTATTACCACCTCATAACTCACCGTTTATAAATGTATAAATTGTCAAGAAACTATGCTTTAAACTCCATCTTGCAAAGTTTTTTGTCTATTCTTCTTGGGTAGATTTTTATCAAAACACGTAGCTCCTATACGTATTCAAGTACTTATACTTGCATTCCTGCCTTTAACATTTGTGGGTTTGATATCAAAATAAGGAGATAGTGATATGATTGCAAATGAGACAACTATCCACAAGAGTTCAATGGCGTTGAGTCTTCCTAATAACGGAATATCCAGAGATGTATAAAGTGTTCTTCTCCCTGGTACAACATAATTATTGTCGTCAAATCATACTAGATCATTTTGTTTCCATACAATAGGCCTACAGTTCTAATTAACCAGTCGTACAAAGACAAAGTCAAATTGAGTAATTGTTGGGATCATTAGAGAACAGAATAGATTATTCGGTTGCAGCTATACCATTCATAAAAGACCTTAAAAGTATAGGAACATAAAATGTTGAATTGTATTTTTGAGGTCGAATGGTTGGAGATAACGCATGCAAGTCTACTTTTGTTTCGAAAGTTTGTTAATCTTATGGGGCGTATGATGTTGCTACAAGCTGGTTTTATTGATATTAGGGGTTGCCATTCCACAATTGTAAATTAGAAATCTTAAAATCAAAAGTTGATTTAGCCTGCCATTCATAAGTTGTCGTTGGTTGCTGTCTATCATGATTGTTTTTCGTTTATTGTATATGATACTTAAGTCAGGCGGGTGGGTTTCTCGTTTGAATTGTTTTATTTTTTTCATGTCTTTTTTCATGGGCCTTTGATATCCTATTGTACGGAGGGCCTCGGTGGCCGAGTGGTCTAAGTAGTTACTACTGTAATCACAAGCCAGTCAACACTGAGGTTGTGAGTTTGAACCCTGCTCGTGCGGGTGCACTCGACTCCAATCTTAATTGACTAGGATTGTCAGTTTTCCTATCGAAGGTCGGTGGTTTTCTCCGGGCACTCAGGCTTCCTCCACCAATAAAAACTGGCCGCCAAGAAATAGTCCAAAAGCGGTGCTTAAAAGTGGCGTTAAAACACCAAAAAATAAAATAAAAAATCCTATTGTACGGTATTGGTTTTGCTCATTGTTGAAGACCATTCAAGACCTATAGTACATATAGTACATCTTAGTCACGTGGTCTATGGTGGATAGTTGTCTCATTGGCATATACACCACATCTTATTTTTATATTGATGCAAACCTCATTGAGGCTGCAAAGTAAAATAGACACCTATAGAGATCATTATTCGACACTTGTCAAAGAAAAGCGCCCACCTCGTATGACAGTTTAAAATCACATATAGCTGTACACAAGTTTTGAAAAAAAATCTACAAAGAATAAATATATGTTACAGCACAACCAATTTTTCCTTAGAAAAAGCAGAAAAGAAAACAATAGAAGAGTTAAGGTCATGAACATATGGCGATCTCGAGATAGCACTCTCATTTGTATCTTTTTCGTTGTAAAAGGATAAAATAAATGTATTGTAAAAAACGACTTTCGCTTGTTTTGTGATGCGAGAGGTTTAGCTAGCTATAAAACCAGGTTCAATCCACCACTTTCTACTTAAGAAAATGCATGTATCAAGTCAGGAATATGACAGTTGTTATCTATTCGTTTGATGTGTTTGAACTTTTGATTTTGCCATTTGATTGGGGACTTTCCTTTTTGAATTTTCCTCGGAGTTCAGTATTTTTGTGATTTTACTTCCTATACAATTGAAATTCAACCAATGGCGTGTCGTTATTTTCCTTTTAGATTGCGAACAATTAAATTACCCAGAGTTCTCTATATTCTGAAACGACGAACTGTTAATTACATATTCGTGTTAAAACCACAAGAAACTGTGGGTTTAATCAAGCCTTTTATTTGTCTGTCTATGTGTGTCGATGATTTTTTTGTATGTTTTAATGAGTAATTGGTATTGTTACTTTGCTTTTTATCTTCTAGTTAAATTTTGATTTACATATAATTAATTTGTGCAGAGAGGAATCTCAGTAGGTTAATGTTTGAAAAAACGTTTAGGACATTATCTTTCGAATTTCAATAAACTCACTATATTTCAAACATTTGTATTGAGTAAATTTAATTTCTGCCTTTTGACTTGGCATTTGTGCATTGAAAAAATACCACAAAACCAGCAAAGATACAATAAAGATCGGTTTGTTCATGTTGACGACAACTCCACATATTAACAACTTATGGATAAGGCTAAGGTTTCAAGTCTTCTGCATTTTGCGCAGAATCAGGACTTTTCCTTTAGAAACTTTTTAGATTATAAATAATAGTGCTCCATCATGTTTGAATATTCTTCTAAAAGTTAAATGTACCAAGTATTCTTTAAGGTACAGTAATACATTTCCCAAGGTAAGAAAGTTAAATGTACAAAAAATGTACCAAGTACTCTTTAAGGTACAGTAATACATTTCCCAGGGAAAGAAGGTTAAATGTACCAAGTACTCTTTAAGGTACAGTAATACATTTCCCAGGGTAAGAAAGTTAAATGTACCAAGTACTCTTTAAGGTACAGTAATACATTTCCCAGGGTAAGAAAGTTAAATGTACCAAGTACTCTTTAAGGTACAGTAATACATTTCCCAGGGTAAGAAAGTTAAATGTACCAAGTACTCTTTAAGGTACAGTAATACATTTCCCAGGGTAAGAAAGTTAAATGTACCAAGTACTCTTTAAGGTACAGTAATACATTTCCCAGGTTAAGAAAGTTAAATGTACCAAGTACTCTTTAAGGTACAGTAATACATTTCCCAGGGTTAAAAAAGTTAAATGTACCAAGTACTCTAGGTACAGTAATACATTTCCCAGGGTAAAAACAAATCGTTTTCATATTGCAGCTACACTGTTGAACAGTCTTCCGGGCCGTTTCAGGACGGAAAACAGTTGTTTTTAATTTTAAAACTTCATTCAGTCTTGGAATGGATCGAAATTTCGCCTTTCAAACTAAAATGTTTAGCTTATATGATTCACTTTGCTATCTAGTGCTTTTTTTTTAACTTCTCGATGTTTTGCCGTTATTGACCTGCTGTACCTGCTGTCAGATGAACTATAAAGGCGCTTACACATGACCTGCTAATTGTTATTGTCAGTCAGTTCTATCGAAATGGTTAAATAGAATTAAACATTTTTGAATATTAAGATTGCTAGAAATCTGTTATTTTGGTTGTTGCATTGCTTTATTCAGTTTTATGTTGTATACTTGTGTGTGCAAGTTGCTTTGTTTTATTTGCTTTGTGTACGTTTGTTTTATTGGATAAATAGCCTACCCAGCTTAGGTTTATATGTTTTATAATATGCTGCATTAACATAAAGTTTTCTATGTCTTTTGTCCAGTGAAAAATATTTTATGCATTTTCATTTATGAGAAATCCAATAGATAAGTTCTGCCAAGTTTCTCGTCTTGTTTTAAATACGATGGATGAGG